ACGATTTCAGATAATGCTAACGACACTTTTAAAACAGGCAACGATGTAAGGTGTTGTGGTCCGCCTCCTGATCGTCATCTCCCAGGATTAAAGTCTGGTTAGGCGTGACGCCTACATACCATGAGAAATGGAGGACTGTGGGGCCATATCTCGCACGGTGGCTATGTACAAGATGGCAAAGGCATTTTAGGGTAGCCAAGAGTTTTCCCATTGATAGATATTCGCAGTTGAGGGAAGGACGGGAGTTCCTAGTACCAAGGTATCGAGTGGTATCAGCGGATCCATCCACTACATGAGTGGTCCAAAATTCAAACTAAGTTATCGTCGTATATAGTCGTCTGGGAAGGACTAGGCTTCTCCATGTTATGCTCCATGAGTGCTAGGCTTGTACCCATCACGAATAGATATTCGTTCATTAATTCGCCATGACTTCAACTAAGACCCCATGAAAAATTAGAACAGAAGCCTACAATTTAACACAATTAGGTTAGGAATCGCCGACCAGAACTTAATCAGAACACTAACAATACGAGATATGATGGAAAGCTAGTGTAAAAAGCTTCAAGTCTTTGGTTAACATGTTTATCTCATAAAATCGAATTCGGCAGATAAATTTCCACAATAACCTATGGATTACATCGTGTCTACTATCAGTCCTGGAAGTCCTAATTCAATAATTCATTTTATTGTCCTGTCTGAGTCTATGACTATGTAGGACATGCAGGTCCTCTCTGCCTACAGGCCAAGGATACCTATACCAGTAGTGTATCCCTTCCTATGCCTCCCATACAGCTCCCCTCAAACAGTACCACCCCTCATAAGTCCTCATTCGATTATACACTTAAGGAGCCCTTAGCCCTTCATTATCTCCCCTCCCCAGCCAACGAAACGATGGCCATTTGCGGGTGTATGGTAGCCGGGAAAAATTACAAAAACCACTGGGTGCGGGGCTCTCCTAATACCGACATTAGGACTAAATCCGAAGACATAGTGACCCTTCCGAAGCGTTCGAAGAGGCCGGCCAGCTGGGCGCTGCAGACTTGTGGGTACCTCTTGAAATTCACGCTCTGCCTTACTAGCCTTCTTCCAACTCCTTTCCGAAGGTCGTGCTGAAATGTCAGAAAAGTCTTGACAGAGCGTGTTTACTGTACGGTAGCTTAGCCCAACTTCTTTTGTACCGTCCAGGACGCTGGGGAGTGCCGTTGACTCATCGACAATTGAAGTCCTCCTGGCTAATTTGCCGAAATCTTGGTCTTGGCGTCCACAAAAAATCCAAGTTGAAAACTCCTCGAAAATATCAGTCCCAGCATGCTCTTCAGAGACCTATTCCCCCTCTCGCTCCACATCTCAGGCGCCTGTTCTTCCTCAAGTTGTTTGTCCGATTAGAGCAACAGTCCCCCATAAGCCAAGACCCAGGCTTTGTATTTGTTGACTTGATTTCCTCCTTGCGGGTATAAATAGCGTCGTAAATATGTAGTGAGAGATGGCTGGAGATTAATGGGCAAGCTCCTGTATGTAATTGGAGCAACTTTTTTATTGATCGTTGAGGCGAGATGATGCATGGTTAGAGATGGGTTGAGGACTCAGATGATAATGATGAGAGAGGCATTGTCGAAATGTCGTCAAATGGAGATATGTTTGAGGTTGCTTTCGACTTCGATTCGGGTGCGATTCTTCTTGGCTATCCCAGATATGCAGAGCATACTGAGCGATTAGACCGGCACCACTGGAAGGTGAAGAATTCGTCTTTGCCGGCTGGAAGTCCTAATATAAGTGTACAAAACTTGACTCGTTTAGACCCAGGCGATGTACCACAGGACCATCTAGCCATGAAGGCGTTTATAATTTGGTCTACGCCTGGGAAATCAAAGCGTTACAGTGCATGTGATCAATTAGATAAACTTCTCCCTAGTATTCGAAATAAATCTCATCAAATTTATATTCACCTTTCGAATCGCATCGCCTTGCCAAACTGTCCTGTCATTTCTCTCGTCCATCCCTATCTCCAACTCTCAAATTTATACGCCATGATTTAATTCCTCTGACTGATTTAAGCACTGTGGTGGGCGTACATTTGGAGATTACTAAAGGCCAGAGACTGATTTAACGAGAGGTGTGATCATATTAATAAAGCTGCAAAAATTCAAACTTAATGAGACCTACATAGTCATAGACTCAGATAGGACAATAAAATGAATTAATAAATAAACTTAATGAGACTTTGGTTGGACATCAAAATTTGGTACAGATAGGAATATTGAATCATTGCCTGGTGAGCCAACTTCTTCGTTCTTGCAAAATTTGGCTGAACTTGGCTCTGGGAGTACATTTCACACCCAGGTTAGTATAGGATACTGCGGCCTGATATTCGGTCCTCCTCCCCCCCCCAAGGTGTAACATTCAGAAAGACCCATCGATTAGCCTTACCTATCATTTATTGGATATAAGTTCATAGTCTCATTTTATTAAAATTATACGCAGTGTATCGATTGATATCTCATAAGCTATGTAACATTAAACAATACAATTACAATTACATATCTTGATAGTGCGGAGGGCAAGACTGAACACCTGTACGCGGTGTCCTCTACGAACCTGGGAGTGAAATATTCTTCCAGAGCCAAGTTCAGTCAAATTTCGCAATATCAAAGAAGTTGGCCCACGAGGCAAAAATTCAAATTACTCCACCATGTCAATCTTTCACTCCCAAAGAGTCCGATTCTCAACTAAGCTTCATCAAGTCTACAAGTACGACCTAGTACATCCTCGTTTCAATGACCACACCTCTCGTCGACTTCCTCTGACCTCAGCCGGTCACCAAATACACGCCCACGCCGATATTTATACCCGACGGAGGAAGCAAAGCGTGGAGCACAATTTTGGGAGATAGCTCTTTGGGACGGACGTGAGAGGGATCAGGACAAGTTCACAAGATGATGCAGAAGAGGGATACGTTTTCGACGGGCGTGGAATTTTGAATTTTGGCAAGAGTTTTACGAATTGGGCTTTGTGCGCGCCAAGACTTAGCCCGCGAGAGTGCAGCTGACACTATAAAAACAAGTAAACGATGGAAGGTGTTGTGGTCCGCCTCCTGGTGATGTTCTCTGGTATGGTTTGAGTAGCCTTGGCACCTACTCCACTTGGGAAGGAGACATCTCAGATTACATTTCGCGCGGAGAAAAGTTGATGGATGACAGAGGCATGTCTGGATAACTCAGGGTTTTTGAGACGTTCCCCTGGGTGGGTATTCACGGATGAGGGTTGACTTGGGGTGAAGAAAAAGCCACCATAACTTCGCAGTGGTACTTGCAAATGAAATCCGAGGCATGAGTGCTCCTATTATAAACTGAGTCATCTTTTCTGTACTTTTCTCTGATATTGTGTCATAGCTAGATAGCTGCATACGCAATTAAAATCTGATGCAAAAAAAAAAAAAAAAAAAATCTTGATAGTGCGATCCTCGCTTAGAGGATCGACCCTGACTTCACGTGACAACGTAGACTTGGCCTGAACTTGTTTATTTCGACACATTTTGTAATTTTCGAGCTCTCACACATCTCCTGATATCTCACTCGAATGACTCGTCTTGAGAAATGTAATGGCAATAAATAGTCTAGCTGGCAGTGTGACATTTTATTGATAGTATGTTACATTTCACGAGCATCTGAAACTATTATTTTCGCAAAAAGGGCGCTTTAGATCGTATCATGAGGCTGGTCTGCAGTCAAATAATTTCATAGCGTTTTAGGCGGGTCTGATGGCTCAGCGGTGTGTCGTCTGTACTGATCTTTCAAGTTGTACCAAATTGGATTGAATACCGGCTTTAATATAGACACAATAACCGCTGGTTCGAGCTTTGTTAGCCCTTGTGGCTCTTGAATAACCGAAAATAACTGAATGCACTAGTAATGGTCCTTTAAAGGGTTTGTTGTATTATCCTGAGTCTTAACATCAGCGATCGCGGTACATCATGTGGGTATTCCCATTAATGTCAATGTGTATGAGTGTACTGATGTGGTGTTACGCCTATCGGGCGCTGGATTTGGGCTGGACACGTGAGAGAGTCTGTGTCCGGATTCTATCCTTGTAGTTAGTTATTTCTTGACAATCGCTCTACTCGGAAGACGATGCGGCCACAGGATTATCCTGATACAAAGAAGAAAATGAATAATCCCACCTCATTATTCTCTTTCAAATTACTAGTTCGGGTTGCTATCAAAACTTTAACAGTTACTATCATTTAACGCTAGTTATGCTCAAGAGGTACGCTAGACCTCTCAGCTCTAGGTGAAGCCTTTGGAGCAACTGTTACTTCTGCATTGGATCCGATGTCAATACTCCATCTAGAATTTATCGACCTTAGATCTATTTTGTAGCATTGGATTTTCAGTGTGTGCACTTCAAGACAAGGTGGTACATTACGGGTCCGTTGGCTCCAGGTCAGCCCGCGCATGGCGCTACTCTCTTGTGATGCATACCCGATAAGGTGCTGCATGGAAGAGTGCTGAAACGACCTGGAAATTCCCGCTAGACCTATTGTGGTGCTCAGTTGAGTCGCTTGATAGCCTGCCGCTGCTGTGGCGACCAATGTAGCGATAGAGCGGGATTTTTTTTGCAATTGTATACCGTTGTGCCCCTGCCGTTGCATATGCTCTTTACTCCTCCACAAGATTTCTGAGCGTACAACAGCTAGTATTCTTCTATTTCTTCTACAATTGATCTAACAAACACTTCTACTATCGGATCAAAAAGATCAAGCAAAATTTTAGGAAAAAAGGGCAAAAAAACTTGGAGGCCTCGGTGGCTAGAAAATATTATACTCAGACATTTGCAGCTGTATACAACAAATTCAAGGCCTTGTGGAATTTATATCTCAAATAATATATTCTTATCTTGCCCTTTGCGTTTAGACTTCCGAAATTAACTCTTTTTAGGGAAAATTCCTACTCCTGAACGTATCGAATATTTAAATATAGATCTCACTACTCCAACACTCACGTATGCCTAAAGAATATTGCGGAGGAATGAGATTTTCGCGACTCATAAACCTACCCCTGATCCTGTTAATCGCCACAAACTCAGCAGTTCTCGCAGGACCCTATCCAAAAGATGAAATTCAAGATACTGGGTTTTCTTTCCTCCAAAGTCGACAATGTGCCTCGTACTGTGGAGCTCAAAATCAGTTTTGCTGTAATCATGGCGAAGCCTGCTTTACAAACCAAGCCAACATAGCATTTTGTTCGGCGGGTATGTCTCCTCCTGCTGGCTACGAGATCTTTACCACCACCTTCACCGAGACTAACCTAGTACTTCGGACGAGTACTTTCACTTCATGGGGGACAACACCTACAGTTTTAGCAGCCCCAACCATCACGCCGCCCGCTATTTGCACAACCAGCTTAGGTGAGTCATCGTGCGGCACTATCTGTTGCGCAAGTAACCAGCGCTGTGCCTTCGCCAACTCCTGCACTGCACATGTACCAGCTGCTGGTGATCCAACATATTCGGTACCAGTTCGTCCTACTTCAGGTGACCTCTTTACAATCTCTGCTACCACCACTGTTCCATTCCAACCCGCCGCCACTGCCTCTGGAAGTAGCTTTCCCGAAGTGTCTCAAAGCTACAGCAACGGGCTATCTGGCGGAGCCATTGCCGGTATAGTCATTGGCGTGACAGCCGGAATCGCACTTATAATACTGCTCTGCTTCTGCTGCCTCGTCAAATCCGGCTTCAAACGAATTCTAGCCAAATTTTGCTTCTGGAAGAGGAAGGGGCGCTCGGATCGAGTTTCTGAAAACCAAAGTAGAATCAACTCCCAAACTAGCCCATCCGACAGGCGGGAAAAAACTGGATTTAAAGATAAATTAACCGCTATCATCTCTTTCATCGCCGATATATTAGGTCTCAAGTCAAAGAAAAATAGGAGCGATGTGTCTACCAGTTATTGCGAAACAAATGTCTCAGGCTACTTTAGCGAGAGTCATACCGGAACCTCCATGAGTAAGTAATTTTGAAAACCTTTGACTAACGTAGGCTCTTTACTCACGTGTCCCTAGGCCAGTCTGATATTTACAGTCAGTCAGACGCGTCTAGGTATGCTCGAAGATGAAGCGATGCCATGCTAGGAAACTTTGAATTAAAATGGCGAATCGAAGCTTCACAAGCTAATTAAGATGGAGTTTTGGGTTGGATATTTGTCTAATAGGGTTGGATCTTTTGTTTCATTTTCAGCCACCCCAGCCGGCTTCCATGTGGACGAATGATGTAAAAGCGGGACGGCTATAAAATCTTGTTGAAAGGAAATTGTGCTATCTAATATGAGCCTTCGCATACCACCAGCTTGTGCGGAGAAACGGAGTGAAGGACGCTGTGGCGCAACCAGACGCTCTGACTAGTACATTTGAAACATGGCTTGAGTGAGTTGCGAGGGATCCAAGATGAAGAAATTCTACAGTCTGCGTTCCAATCTTGGATTAATTGATACTATTAACATTGATACTTTTATTGTCCATTGCCGGTGTATGGCTATATCGGATATGGAGCTCCTCTCTGACCACAGGCCAACGATACTTATCTAGTAGCATAAATCCCGCACCTCGTACAAAGCTATCTCTACTCTTGCAGACGCGCTGCGTAAGTCAGTGCTCAATATCTGACAAATGTATTTCTGGAGACAGGGACTCGTATTTTGGATAGAATTAGGTCAAGGCTGTAATCTAATTTTCTGAACTATGACCAAAAGCTTAATAAAGCATCGGTAATAATGTCTGTAAATTCACAAATCTAGTACGATGTGGCCAGTATGAGGCAGAATCAGATGTGTGATCTCAATGGAGTGATGCTGAGGCAACACAACGCTCCCACAGCTTGTCAAGGAACGGGATAAAGGGTCTAGTGGGCCAGGTAAGAAGCACGGGCAAGATGGAATTTGTTCAGGGGGTTAGGTAAAGGGAGTTTAGAGGCTGGGACTGTGAAATGGGTGGCGCGCCAACAGGCATCCCACGGAGCATAGAAGTTTGGGAACGTTGAGCAAGTCACGGACCGACACGTCTGGGGGCCTGGACACACGGGCTGCTAGGCAATAGAGCAACATCGAGCCGCAGAGTCTTGACTGGGTAGACAATACTTGTGGGCGTATGTAGGGGTCAACCCGTCACGTATCATGGCCATGTTATGGACAATATGGGATTCACGGCACCAAAGGCTTCTCGTGTGAATGGAACATAGTGTGGCGAGCTCGAGACGATTATACAAGATCGATTTTCCCGGCCGCACACGTCGCTTTGCCTGCTAAAGGCCAATTGCACATATGACAATGCTCATTGACTACCCATCAAACCCTTCCCCAAATTGAACTACCGCCACGCCTGAGGCATCAAAGCCTCGGTGGGATTCGCGCCGTGGGCCCGGAATTTCGCGGGTTGTGGCGAGGAATGCTGCCGGCATAGGGCTGCCTGGGTGGAGGGCGCATTGACTGTGGTGCGGGTGAATATGCACGCCAAACCACGCCTCATTTCACCGGGCGAGGGTTGTGCGTGGCGCTGAAGTTTCTATCTTGGGCGACGGCGGCGACGGGAAACAATTGATCGTAAGTGACGATTTCGGAAGGATGGGGGCGTCGCTTGTCTTCGCGATAATCGAGACCGGCCGCCCTTAGAGCGGCGAAGCGGACCTCGTTGATGCCTAGACGTCGGCCGTGCATCCACTTCTCGGAGCTGCAGGCGATGATTTCTCCAACGGCTGAGCCTTCGTTGAGACCGTCACGGCAGAGGGCTTGCTTGACATCGGTGATGACTTGGCCAAGGCGCTGCGAGTCGAGACAGCCTTCGCGATCCCTTGGTGCCATGAGTTTATCGGCTTTGGATAGGATGACCTGGAAGGGCACGTTGACATCTCTGAAGACGTTGAGCATCTGACGGTCGCTGTTCTTGAGGCCGTGCTCGGCATCAACTAGGAGAAAGGCCCGCTTGAGCTGACGTCTCTTCTCCAAATACTTGATAATTTGTTGGCCCCATTCCGCGCGCCCGCCCTTTCCATAGCCCGGCAAGTCCATAACAATGAGACGCTCGGTACCCTCATCGGGCTTGGGATTGACGGCGAAGGCGCTCATGAGTTTTGTGCGCCCGGGCTTCGAACTCGTAAAGGCGATACGGCGACAGAGGAGCGAGTTGAGGAGACTTGATTTGCCGACGTTTGAGCGGCCGAGAAAGCAGACCTCGGGGCTCTCGCCGAAACTGTCGCCAAAGGGCATGTCCTTGAAGTTCTCCTTGGACCAGAGGAATTCCGTCGAGGCATGTCGGAAGAATTCGGAGGCTTTTTTGAGCTGGGCGTGCGTCGGCGGCTGCGTGTTCCAGTGGCAGGAGAGAGATATGGGAGTGGGTGTGAGTCCTTGGGCATACTGGGCGAGGGTCGAGAAGGCGATGCAACGGCGACGGCGAGGCAGGAGCGGCGTGATGCGCGACATGGCGGCCATTAGCTAGTGCAAGTGAGCGACTTCGACGAGCGCGCGATAACATCAAAATGGCGTAGCGTGTACGCGTCAGACGCGCGGCAAACTCGCCTTTTGCCGCCGCAGAGTCTGCAGCATGTACATTCTCCTGCAACATCACGTCCCCTCATCATGACCTCGCCGACGCATATTCGCGCCGTCTACCGATCCCTCCTGCGCGAATTACCGTACCGTCGGCTCGCCGACTTGTCTAAATCGCCGCTTCACGCTCGCCTCCGCCAGGCCATACTCTCCGATCGGCACACGTCGATGCAGTTCGCGGAACAAGTACTGCAATACACCAAGGCGCAGCGACTCTACGTTACTCTCGTGGAAAGATACAATCCTGGAATGAACATGGATCAAGGCGAGAAGATTCGATTGACGGCTCGAAGGGTGGGCATGCAATTGCCCGTGGAATTTGATCCTGCTGGGGCCGGAGAAGATTCAGAGAATGGAGGCGAGCAAGGACGAGATGTGCCTCGATAAGGTCGGCTAGTCGTAGCATACTTCAACGCCAGAGACATATGGCAAGATGCAAGGAGCCTCGCTAGATATTTTATTGCCCGTGCAGCACAAGTTATTGGCAGCCGATCTATCCGATAAAATAACCACATCTCACCACCATTCCAGCAAACCGACGACACCAAAAGCGGAATGGACATGTCTAGGAAAGTTAGTCTGAGCCAAGACTTATAGGGTACATGGCAATATGTTCTCATGATTCGTTCTAATATAATCTCTATCTACAATCTCTGTTATTCGGTGGCCTCGCTCAATAATGATTGCAGGGAGGATTTAAAAGTGCCAATTTTCACATAACCTAGCTACCCACCATGAGCACGAGGGGTTATAGAAACTTCTACACTAGGAAGCTGACAGGAGATGACAATGCTACAACCTTCCGCTCTTTGGCTTGCCCACGACAAGACTCCCCACCTCGAGGATACTAATTTTCTGCGCATGAGCCCATATGGCGTCCCCTCGGCGCGTGAAACTGTGACATCCTTATCGTTCCCGAGCCCATCCTCCCATTCCGACGCCCGCCTAGTACCAATCATTGCCAGCAATGTATGATCTCTGTGCTACATTTCCTGCAAGTGTTCGGCCTCCCTTCCCTATCGACTTTTGGCTGTGAGGCGCACACCACTAATCAATGCCATGGTGAAAATTTGTAAGGCTAATTATCCCACACAAGTAGCAGCGACGCCTCCTGGAAGCTGATCATGAATGTTAGTGAAACTGTTGCAGGTTCTCTGTCACGGAATATCGGGTGGGCCGATCGCCTACGTTTAGATAGGGTAGGATAGCCGTGAGAGGTACTCGGTTGTCGGCACGCAGGGGAGACATATCCAGACAAGACGAGACGAGGGCCGCGAGCAGATTGAAGATCCCAAAATTAGAGATTTCTCGCTTGTTACGAGGGTCTGGCTAGTTGCAATGATTATGTAATAATGTTCAGGACGAAGTTTGGGTGTAAGAGAGGAAATACAACATACAAGTGAATGACACCTTATACTTGGGGAAATCAGATCACATCTAGTCTCTGGCTCTATGGTTAATGTTAGTGGTTTGGAGCCACAATACACCCGTCACCCATATTACCAGACTGCTAAACTCATCTTACCTCTCATATTTTTGCGTGCAATAGGAACGTCAGGGTGACGGTGGCCAATAATAGGCCCGTGACCCGTCTAGGAGCAGGGCAGTAATGGGCCATTATCCGTGGCCGGCTATCGGCACGCATGGTCGAGGAAATGTCATGCTGACTGTCTAGAGGATCAAGGTTCTGCTAGTCGACGGGCGCTGGATGCCATTCCGCTTAGTACATTGTTGTAGCTCTCATGGGCCGGCTTACATAATTGGCGACGCTGCGGTTCAAGATCTACCGTTTATCCTGCCGCAGAATACATCTATTATAAGGGCATAGAATTGATGTGCCACGGGTGAGTCTTGACTGTGAAGGGCTATGGGCCAGGCAAATATCGTCGCCGGGTGCAGACTCTGGACAGCGGAGGACGCACTATGCGAGGGTAGAGAGAATCAGGGTGATTCTATTATTCTAGCCTGCGGCACCTGTTTCATGGAAACCCAGGCGCAGTGGTATTAGCAAGAGATTGGCGTGTATGCAGCCGGCTAAGCCTCAGCCCAGAGCTTTGACTCGATGCGTGACATTCCTGTCTTCGGTTCGTCTTGTCGAGCAATCATGCCGTAGCCGTCACGAGTGTATGCATTCCCAGCAGCGTTGGAATTATATCCAATTCATGCAAATGCGTTTGACGACTGAGTAGATGGGTAATGGCTGTGCTTGGAGCCAAACTCTCGGCCACATGAAGCGCTTTCTTTCCAGTCAAGCTAATCTTGCTTCTCAAAAAAGTGCGTTGGTACCGGCTGATATGCAAATAACTGACTGATGATAGATGCGCGGCGGAAACCTCATGGATCGGCTCGATTTAATCCAGATGCCAAGGACAAAGGCCTATCGACGGCTTCTACGAGCCTGTGATTGAGATGTAGTTAAGCCATGAAGCCATGATTCAAAAATGCCCGGTACATCTATTATTCCTGACATGAGCGACTCGGTCCAAAGCCTAACGAGTCTTCAAGCACGAGCTGATAGAAGCTCATTTTAATGGCCACACCTCTCATCGGTCCGTCATTGGCCTCAATACACGGCCACGATATAGGCCTTGAGGAGAGGTGAGCAGAGATGGGTACGGGTTGAAAAGCACGATCGTGGTTGAATTGAGCAGTGACACAGATTCAAAGCCACTCTCACACGCAGAGTTTCGTTAGCTTGGACGGGAATTTACGGCTATGCAGACAGAACGAGCTGAACACTTCTATCGTCGTTTGTGGTAGATGAATGCTTGGATAGGCAGGGGCATTGAAGGTTCTCTAGGATGGGAACTCGACTATTAGGCTCTACTGTTTGGTGATAACCAAGCTATCTCGTAGCCGTGAGTGCGAAAGTCAAAGGAGTCGTCGAGCAGGCAGGCCGAACGCTGATTACGTGTCATGTCTCGATGGCTGGTTTGTAAGCTAAAATATCCAACGTCGACACGAGAAATCATGCGTAATTGGGCTAGGAAGGTGCCAGCCACATGCTGCAGACCTATGGCATCAAACAATAAGCATGAAGACAAATCATATGCTTCCAGCTTGGTACAGGTAGAGGTCACTAGCTTTGGCTATACGGAGCTGTGTCTCTCATAAGCCGCAGGTCATGTGTTTAGGACAGTAATAGCTAACTTTCTTTTGGTAATTGCCGATAGACTGCATGCGCAATCAATGTCACGGAGAATGCACAGATCTGAATGGTGGCAGCGCACGTGACACGTATTCGCACAACGGACTAGGAAGCTCAGGGTGCCGCGATAATGGATTTTGGGGATGGCTGTGTGGGGCAATTGGCTATCGAGGTCGGGTCAGCAAATGCACGGGCCGCTAGCCGTCAACTGCGCATGACAGGTTGAGGAGTGTGTCGGAGGCCAATGAATCGGCTTAGTCAGCCGGCAGACATGGGATGATTTCGCGAGGACAGAGGCTATGAAACATGAAGGCGTCAGCGGGGAAGGTCGAGCTATCAAACACCATGGACGGATGGGGGCAAATATGCCACACTACGCCTCGGCGAACTCTGATAGCCCATGCGCAGCGAATCCTCTAGGATGGTCGAGCAGTGGCATCGGCCCTTTTGTGGTCGGTGGTCTGTGGACACGGCAGCTGCATCGGCAGCGGCAACACACTACTCGCAAAGTCTCGCCTCACCACCCACTAGGCTCGCGTGGTAGTGAGTCTGAGGCGAGGACGTAGTGCCGGTGAACCCGTGGCCCCAAGCCGCCTGGCCGGCTGCAGGGCCAAAGGCGGAGCGGCAGAACATCGGCCGGGCCGTCCGGAGCCGAATACACAGAGACCCGCACGGCCGACGGCTCTGGTAGGCGAAACAGCTAGCTTCTCGATCCTCACTCTCAAACCCTCACGGTCCTGGCCTTCTAGCTTTCGTCGAGTTTCGCCGATGCGGAATGCTGGCCTCGAAAGCCTCTTTGCCGCAAGAGATTATCAATATCTCCAAGCCCATTGCGACTTGAATCCCTCGCGCAATCCTGCATCTGGCGGCGGTGGCGGATATTCCCCGTCTCATCCTTTCCCCCACCCCCGAGTATCGATGAAACCTGCGCTGCCCGATGCCACGTTGCTGGGACTCGGACCTCGGTCACACCAGCCGCAGTCTAGAGTGCGTGGCGTGTCCAGCCTCGTGGTCCTCAACCCGGCCTTCCAGTCCGCCGCAAGGCTGAACGCTGTCACAGCGAGTCAGGCAGTCAGGCAGCTAAGAGCCCTCCCCGCCTGCATTCCCCCACCTCTTGTCCATCCCTCATCCTGCGCCGACCCACGCTCACGGCACACCTGGCACGCCTGGCCCTGTTGCGCCCGCCCCATCGCCGCCGCCGCTCCTACTTCAATCGTAGCTTGCCTTCCACACTCATCGCTTCATCTGTTCCTTCATTAATCCTCTCATTGTTATCGAGTGCGAGACAAGAGCCCAACGTGAGGCGCATCGTGTCCTCTACTCGCCAAACTCGCCTGTGCCCGCTCTGGAACACCGTCCGCCCGACACCTGGCCGCAGCAGCAGCTCCCTGCTCGCCCCACTGCCCCACCGCTCTGCAATTCACTCGCCCGTCCACGCCACGCCACACCCAGCGCCGCAGCCGCAGCCACAGCTACTCTCACTTGTACAAAGCAGCTCGATTTCCAATCATTCCCTGCTGCCCGTGCCGCCTGTGCCGCATCACACCCTTTGTCCTCGCAATATCAAGCGACTGCCTCTTCCATCACCGCGGCCCCTCCACATCGTCACAATACCTCAAAACCACTACAATACCTCACCACCTCACACCACATACCACCACCACAATACTTCACCACAACACACCACCACCACAATACATCTGCCCCTCACTCATGCGCCCATCGCCTCTGTATAAAGCAAGCTTGCATCTCGGCTTAAGCCAGACCCTTCACTTCTCCACCCCTCAGCGTCTTTGCACGTCTCCACCGCCATGTCGTTACTATCCCCTTCACCACCGCCGCCGCCGCCGCCGTCTTCACACCATAAATATAGGACTCCAAAGTCTCTGCAGAGGGAGGCCCTCGCAAGATTCGTTCGAATGCCCGTCAACACCACCATGGTGAGCCATCTGGCGCGAAAGGCTGCCAATGTCATACAATGCGACTGTCCTCCCATGGAGACGCCTCAGCTTCCTCCTTCGCCTCCCCAAACACCACCGCAAGTCTCATCTGACATCTCACCTCCATCCCTGCGTCATTTCATTTTCAACCTCGTCAGTCGATCCAACGTGCAGGTTGCCACTCTCATGACCACCCTCGTCTACCTCGAACGCCTTCGTCGGAAGCTGCCTCGAGTCGCAAAGGGCCTACAGTGCACCGTTCACCGAATCTTCCTCGCCGCCCTCATCCTCTCGGCCAAATTTCTCAACGACTCGTCCCCCAAGAACATGCACTGGGCCGAGTATTCCCACATGAAGTCTCACGCTGACTTTGGCTTCGCCCGTTCCGAAGTTAACCTCATGGAACAGCAGCTCCTCTACCTTCTCGACTGGGATCTAAATGTCAGCGAACAAGACCTCTTGACTCATCTCGAGCCCTTTCTATCCCCAATTCGTGATCAGCTACGTTTGCAGGAACCGCGCCATTACGCTCCTCTGGCCATCTCGCGTCGACAGCTAGACCCAGTGAATCCGCTCCTATACGCCACTCGCCCACCCGTCCTGAGTACGTCGGGTCTCCTAGTCAAGGACGAAACGCCACGACCCCTGATTGGCCCGCGAGAATCCTCTCTCGTGGCCCGTTTGCCGCCTAAACGTCTGAATCTACGTGCTCTCACTAAGCCGGTACCGCCATCACCAGTTCTTGCACACGAGTCTCGTCTCGGTGACTCGTCAAACTCGCTCTTCTCGCCCCTAAACTTACCTCTCACTCTCACCCCTAACATGACTGGCAGTGCCCACGGCCTACCATCCCCACCCGTCTCTGCCACAACACTACGTCACGCTGTCAATTCACATCTCGCTCGTCCTTACAGCGAGTGCGAACCACTCCACCACTCGCCTCTTACCCGCCTCCCTAAACGTAACACGGTCCACATTGCTGAACAGTATCTCGCCGCCGACTGCTCTCCTCCCACCTGCGAGGCTGCATGCTCTACGACTCTATCCTACCAGCCGCCTCCCTTGTCATCTAAGCCATCGAAACGATCCCGCAGTGCCGGTTTCATACTAAGTCGCCTCTTGGGCGGGAGATCAGCGGGCAATTCTTAGCACCACATGATCCGGCTTATGCAAGGACATTACGCTATCAAGATCAACGAGTCAGATGGCGAAATCGGCGTATTCGGGGTGTTTGGAGGGTGCTGGGAGGGCTTATTTACTTAGGAGTTGGGTGTAATTGGGCGTCCGCCTGGGTGGGCGGGCCATTGAGGCGGGAGACGCGGAGTTGAAACGAGATCACATGCCTTTCTGTGTATATAGATGATTGATGAAGGGTATGATTTTTTGGCTCAGGCGAGCTAACATACCTCAGCTAGAAGTGTTGGACTGTGTAGACGATTTGATGCCGTGGAAAATGAAACCTTTGACACCTACATCCGAGACTGCCTGCCTCCGCTGACCCAGACGAGATGGACGAGTCGCTGCAAATGACAGTCCCAGCACGCGATCGACGCGCGGACCCCCCCCCGGACTCGGGCCCGTGATGCAGACGTGCACAGTAGGGTCGTTTGGCGGGGCCGTACTAGTGACGCGCATGCATCGCCCTGCAGCCCTATGGCTCTCTCCAACGCCCGGTCCCTGTGCCATGGCCGTCCAGCCCACGAAGCTGATGCAGGGTGCGCGATGTCCATGGAGATGGCAAGCCGTGCCATGGCTTCTGAGTGACCTAGGCGTTTCCGGCTCTGGCGCACTGCATGCCGAGCAAGCCAGCATCGGGCCAGCTACAGTGATGCACATGATCCCCGTCCCGCCTCGGCTTCCCCTTGTGCGTCGAGCCATGTCAAGTCCGACTGTGCAGAGACCTCTATCTCCGTAGGCCGCAGCGCCAACTCCGCAGACTCTGCCACTGCGCATGCGAGGCCTCCCTTCCTCATCCAGCTTCCGTCTCTCACATATTCTATGCCGGCAAGCTCATCTCATCTCACCTCGCCCCTAGCCATGGAGACCAAGTAAGCTGGCCTCTGTCGAAAGGCGTAGTTGATATGCCGTCGCCTGCAGCAGAGGGATGACGTGCGCATGTGCCACTAATGGTGATTCTGCCTTTCTCCTGGCGCAGCTTCGACAGGCCGCGAGTAGAGTTTGGCTGGGAAGGAGCGCGCTGGAGGATCGAAGGGTTAGGTGTCGGTTGTATCATCTCGAAACCCAGCTGCATCTGCACTTCGCTTTGGCGTCAAGGTGATGGAAGCCGTCAGAACTCGGCAGCTCGGCCTTTCGACCAGAATGAGCCAGCGCCGTCTCCTTGTCGTCACACGATCTTGGCTCTGTCCGAATACCGTTCCCATAATTGTAGGGGTAGTTGCTAATTACCAAAGAATGAGTTTGTTATCAGAACGATTGAAGGAGATGAAAGAAAATTAGTCTGATTTTTCAAAGTAATAATAGTGTGAGGATGCCTTCACGATGCACTTTATGAGGCTCTGTACTGGGAAGCGAATATACCGGGGGGCTAGCTTAGCCGGCTCTGAAATCAACACTACACGTAAGCCATCTACAGTGAATGGAAGTAGTTTGCGCACTAGATCTCGTAACGCTGACAGGTGCTCAACCTTCGTCCTCTACTGTCCTGCCTGGATCCGAACTCGTCCTATCCTTCATGACTCGATATAGCTCTAGGGACACCATGTCTTATCATGGATGGTACCTCGAGCTTCATATGGTCCAGTTAGTTCGTCTTGTTTCGAAGCTGGGCCTTTTCAGACGACAGAGGCCATACAGTTGAGCCCAGCAAGGCTATGTATACTAAAGAATGTTTTTCCCTTCCTCGCCAGCTGTTATGGCCTGAGGCAGAGTTACCAAACGGAATATCTGGCCAGCCAATATTAACTTAAGAGATAAACTACCCGGTCATCCCCAAGACCGGCTTTCGGGAGGACGAAGGCTGGACACCTGTCAGTGGTGTCCTCTGCGAACTTGGGAGTGATATATTCTCCTAGAGCCGAGATTCAGTCACTAAAAAGGGTGGGATGAATTTTATTTGATGGATTTTCGACTTGAAGGAGTTGCACTCGATATTTTGGTCGAAACATCAGTCAATAGAGATTTCACAGCCGCAACAAAGTCGATTAAAGACTCATCACCACTAACATACGATTCACGAATGGGCCTAGGTATGTCTGGGGGTCGTATTCAAACATCTGTCATCTCTCAAACTCCTTATATATTTGCGACGATCCATTTCTCAGTCGATCCCACACCTGCGACCCACCTCCATAGAGTGTAGGCGACACTATAAACATTGCCATGGTTGGATGGTGCGCTGGTACGTTGTCTTGGCCGGTCTACAAAGTAAAGTCTGGATAGCTTGGGCACATATCCCACTCGAGACAGTAGATGGCTGGTTCAAATCCGGCAAAACACAACCACATTTCTCGCGGCGCTAATATGCATGGATGACGAAGGCATGCTAGGATAATCAAAGGTTTTTAAATTCCCTTTGGTGGGTACTTACGGAGGAGGGTCGACTGTTTGTGTAAGTAAGCATACCTCATAGTGGTGTTTGCGAATGAAATCCAGAGTATGAGTGCCTCTAACGTCAAAAGAGTCATCCAATATGTATACATAGCACCGGTCATGTGTCATAGCTCTATAGCTGAATACACATTAAATAATAATAAAAAAGTATTTTTGCATAAATTAGTAATATAGGCTTTCGGGGATGATTAGTATTTAGGATACAGGAAAAATCCACATATTATTCCCCAGGCTAAATATCTCAGGAGACTAGCAATTCAACTCAGATACCCTCATACGATGAATGGTTCTAGAACGAGCCGGTGATTGCATTAACGAATTGTTTTGTTATTAGAAGCGGATGAAATGGCTTACCCAGATCTTCAGCTTCGCAATTTGTATTTCTCTCTTCTTTTGATCATAATCATCTTTAGTATCTTGCTACCACAATTATCTCTTCTTAATCTTTGAATTCTTGATTCTAAGCTTCCATTGTGAACCTCGATAATCACCTCATACACTTCGAAGACGGCAGATCCTACCCCTTTGGGATCGCGCCGTAATACCAGCCTTCTATCGATTCGCGCCGCAGAACAGCTGCAGTTCGTCATCGGAAATCAGGGATTGCTGGAAGAGAGCTTAGTCTGGCATTCAAGAATGGTATGGGTTTGCGAAGCGATGCAGCCATTGTATGGTGGAGGCCTATATCGAGGAAATAATTTCTTTAACTCGGGAGGACGAAAGCGTCAATTACCTTGCTTTCGTAAGGAGTAGACAAGGGCATCTTTAAATACTGCTCAAGCTATTTATTCTACCATACCTCGCACCACACTTGCTGGCCGTCGTCCGAGTCATGGATAGCGAATTCCAAGAGGAGAGATTGTCTCACTACAGAGATGAGGTTGAGATTCCCTCCTGACTCAGCTCCCATCTTCGCCTGAGTAGAAGGCTATCCAGCTGAAAAATTATGATCATAATCTCTGGTATTCAATATTCATAGCGTCAATACTTTCACTGGCCCCACTTGGGTCCTTTTCATTTGATAACACAGCTCTTGTCTCATCTGAAAAAACTTGATGGATCAAGATCCTTTTCATTCCTAGCCTTGAGCTCCATTACAAAAAACCTAAATCATATGGCTGTTCGGAGGAAAAGCCTAAATTTTGTTCCTCGAGTTAAGTATGTGCCGGCTTGGTGTGGCCCGAATATTCATCTTCACTACTCTTCGGCATAATTTCAGCACAACGGCGGGAAACCTAAAACAGAAACAAATGCTTGTTCAAAAACATATCTTCCATTTCCAACAGATTTGCTGAACCTGTCCCTAATCTCAGATAGTCACATGGCTACTACTCTGGCTCCGGGTAGGAAATTAACACGTCAAATTGTGAAACTCACAACGGTGATTTCCATCATAGACCATATCTCTTCCTCTTAAGCTCTAGATAGGATTAGTCTTACCAATAGCCTAGCACATCCAATCAAAATACTGTTTTTGTGTTGCACTGCTTTCCGTAGACCATCTATATTACATATCCTGTCTTGCTTTAGTCTTCATCTGAAATCTTCACCGTCTCGAATAGTCAAGGCGTCGGGCAGTTGTATAACGGATATTTAAGGTTGAATGCCGATTTTCCATGGCAATTTTCCAAAACAATTTGAGCGTAAAGATGGGTGTTGTCTTTGGTTAGCAATAGTTTTGAAAACAGAAAATGCGATTGAGGTATACAGTATTTTTCCACTAGTAAATTGCCCTACTTAGGGCTTCGACTTATTCTAGACACGAGGCCAAAAGTAAGGCAAAAATTACCTTGTGGCAATGCCAGTAAGGACTACGTCCGATATCTTGAGTAAAGCCCTCTCATGTTGAAATGATTCGAGACTAGCTGTTGACTACTGATTGTTTGTTCCCGTCCGGCTTCACTGGCGCGTCGATATACGGCAAGGTCTGGTCCAAGATTTCTCCATAATGCGGTGAGATATTACTAAGCATCTGTCAAAGATGTACACTTACTTTTTCCTAGGAAAAGATTTGTACAATTTAATGTAGTGCTGATCGAGCCTTTGTTTGGGCAGTCGTACAGCGTTCGCGTTCCGAGCGTACTAGGGGTGGGGAAAGAAATTTTCCAGGCGAAAATTCTTTCGAGTAGTGTAGGATGCCTGAGTACTGCGAAACAACAACGACAGTACTAACAGTAACCACCCATAATTCCTCACGATGCCTGGAAGACAGTCCCACGGAGCCCCGAAAGTGAAGAAAGTCAAGAGCAGAAGTACATCGAAGAGGAAATCACTCAACGCCCTCTCTATAGCGACGCGTCAAGACTCCAACAAGACAAAGATAAAATCCCTCCATTCAGGCGCTGAAGTCAGTGGTAATAAGCGGCGACGCCAAGATTTAGGTCCAGAAGATATAGACGAACTAGATGATACCAGTACAAAAAAACCAAAGAAAGATGCCATTAGTAGCAAGCTTGATGATTTCGACTCCGATAAAGGCAGTGATAGCGAAGGTAACGAATGGATCACAGGAAATGTCGGCACAGATGATGATAGTGAGCTTGATAGTGACGAGGCATTTGGGGAGAGTGATGAAGATCGATTCGAGGGATTTACGTTCTCTGGGAGCTCCAGAAATAAGCCCAAAAAAAAAGCCCAGGCCAAAGATATCAACCTTGACGAAAGTGAAGATGAGCTTTCTGATTCGGAATTAGAAGAAGGTGATTTAGGAGAAGATGCAGTTGATCTTGCGGCAGTGCTAGACATGTCAGACTCCGAAGATGAAGCAATCAAGGCGCCAAAGTCCGAGAAGAACGGAGGCTCTGTAGCAGCTGATCATATGAAGGAGAGTGATGATAGCGAAGAAGACTATGAAAGCGAAGAAATTGAAGCCTCATCCTCTACATCTTCCGAAGAAGATGACTCCGATGACGAGGCGGCCGACCCTCAGAAATTGGCAGACCTACAAAATCTTATCGCCGAATTATCTAAAGACGATAAAGCTTCGAGTCTTTCCAAGCAGAAGGCTCAGAATTCAGTCGAACACCTCGCGCCATCGACTTTCGGCCTCACATCCAAAGTCAAACTCACACTCAACGATCTTGGAATATCTGCCGTGCGAGATTCAAATATCAAAAAATCACTCAAATTCCTGAAGCCAGACGGCGAGAAAATTACGGGAAAACTAGATGTACCACTAGCCAAACGCCAACAAGATCGGCTCGATCGCACCGCGGCCTACGAAAAGAGTAAAGAAACCCTCGACCGCTGGACTGAAACTGTAAAACTTAATCGTCGAGCCGAACATCTATCATTTCCTCTAGTAGATAATGGTATTGCCTCTACGAAAACAAACTATGAGCTAGCTCCTATCGACTCAAAAAAGCCCTTCAACGATCTAGAAGCGACCATACAGACAATTCTCGAGGAAAGTGGACTTGCTGCAGTCAATGGCAAGGACGAGGAAGATTCCGACCAAATCGGCAATGAACTCGAGACAAATAATATGAGCCTTGAAGAGGTTAAAGCGAAAAGAATTCAATTACGAATGGCTCGAGAATTATTATTCCGCGAAGAGGCTAAATCTAAACGGATAAAAAAAATAAAGAGCAAGTCCTATCGAAGGGTCCACCGCAGACAGCGTGAGAAGGCTATGAATCTCGAGCAACAGGCTTTGGAAGAAGAGGGGCTCATCCCATCAGAAGATGAGATGATTGCCCAAGACCGTCGACGGGCCGAGGAGCGCATGGGCGCCAAACATCGCGGAAGTAAGTGGGCCAAATCTATTAAAGCGACTGGGCGGGCTGCTTGGGATGAAGATGCCAGGTCTGGCATCGTTGAAATGGCTCGTCGGGATGAAGAGCTTCGAAAGCGTGTCGAGGGTAAGCGGATCCGGGTGACCTCTGAAAAATCGGATGCGTCTGATGCAAGCGACGACGAAAGTAATGACGAAAGCGACGAGCAAAGTAGCAAACTTCGAAACTTACAAAAACTTAAAGAGCTGGGGAAGTCGGATCTCGTCGATAGCTCTATGCCTGGTGCTCGACTAGCAAACATGGATTTCATGCGACGAGCAGATGCAGCACGGAAGAAAAGAAATGATGCCACTGTCGAGGAAATGAGACGCGAGCTAGCTGGAGAAGAAGCTTCAAGCGAGGAAGAACCGGAGGATATTGGACGTAGGGTGTTTGGGTTAACCTCAGCTCCAAAGGCATCAACAAAAAGAGCAGCTTCGGACGGGGAGTCTGTAGAATCTGGTGCATCCGAGGCTGAATGGGAACCTGAACCCAAGGAATCTGTAGCTGTGCCCAAAAAAAAAGCGCAGCCTCAACCACGCCTTAAATCTATACTAGTTAAAAATAATGTAGACCTACCCACGGAGGGCGGTGCATGGTCAAAAGTAGTTGTCGACGAATCTTTACCGGTATCAACCTCTAGGAAGCTACGGAAGACGGCCAACAGTGTACAAGCAGATGAGTTAGATCTATCGCAGGCAGTGGTCATGTCAAAGAAAGTTAATCCATCGAAGCCTTCCCCGGCCACAGGCGATTTATCAGACGAATCAGATGATGACCAGGGAAATTTGGGGTTCCTGGCTAACGATCAAGAACTAATTAAACGTGCATTTGCGGGCTCAAACGTTGTAGGTGAATTTGAGGTGGAAAAAAAGAGGGTTCAACGAGATGAGGCTGTGAAAACTATTGATAATACCCTTCCTGGCTGGGGAAACTGGGTGGGAGATGGTGTGAGTAAGAGGGAGCAAAAGCGTAACAAGGGTAGATTCCTCACCGAGACCGACGGCGTGCGAGTGCAGAAACGAAAGGATGTCCACCTTCAACGCGTTATCATCAGTGAGAAAAAAGTCAAAAAGGTACGCATGGGTATGCCCCTCCCCAAATATTTAGCGCTAATGAATCTCTAGAATGGTAAATACCTCGCTACAAGCCTGCCCCACCCCTTCGAGACGCGCTTACAGTATGAGCGTTCCCTCCGACTTCCTATCGGCCAAGAGTGGACCACTAAGGAAACCTTTCAAGATGCGACGAAGCCGCGTATCTTGCTCAAGCAAGGAATCATTGCCCCCATGTCCAAGCCCCTGCTATGAAAAGCGGAAGCCATCAAATCAGCATACAGCTTTTATCAGTGTTGTCTTATTCCCTCTCTCGAACTCTCGCGGTCCGCAAATATTGGAACCTGGCTTCTTGCTCTCATGCTGTACCTAGGCGTATGAGATGTGTTACTTTCATTAATTTACCTAATGATATCTAATTTCTCCGAATAACGCTTGACTATCGCCATCTTTTACTGATAGAGTCTAACGCTTGGGATATGCCGCTCCATGGGTAACTAGCGCTTCTCTATGAGACTTGAGATGGTCAACGTGACATTATGTACCCTGCTTCAGTATGGCCTGAAATGCATATCTCAGCCTTGATAGCCCACAATTTCTATAGGCCCAACGACCAAGCTATAAAAATTACAAAACTATAACTCTTAGATCCCGAAACTTCCGTGAATTACGACGTATGCCCTCATTGCCTATTCTCATGCATCCAGCTTCGTCCTCAAACTAACCCCACAGCCTAAGCCTGTGTTCCCTTTGGTTTTTGAGAGGCAAGGACATGAGCTTACACTCGGCACGCTGTGTCTACATGTATTGTGGCCCTTTCGATCCATCTCAGTAGAGCACGTTTGCAGACTACGCGTCCAATTTTTTTAGAGGATGTTGTGATCAATGATGACTACATTGATGCGTAGGCCACTTTCACCGCTATTGCCCTGTGGGCTCCGATCCTTCACATTCAAAGACCCGGTAGGCACTCTAATTCTATTCTTGACTCTGTAGGCTCTGCGCAGTAACGACAGCTTTTAAAACGTGTTCAGTCGGCCTAGATGGAAAGAGAAAGACTTTGACTCACCTGACCTAGCCACGTTACCCTTTTTTCCGCCGCAGAGACGCGCAATGCGTGACTGGGTCTTGATAATCCAGCCTCCATTCTGGAAATTAGCTCTCATAGTATGCTACTGCACCATCCATCCATAGTTCAATTCGCCGTGACACGCGGACTCTCGTCAAATTGGTGGCGCGTGCGCACGTAAGTCTGTCAGCCCCCGAAACTCTTTACCCGGCCCGAACTATAACCAGCCTCATTCCGTTAAACCCCGCCGCAAGTGTCCACATCCTTCGCCGACCCTACCCCTTGCCACTTTGGAGCGCCACGATACAAATCTCGGGGCGAGTACTGCGTGGCTGGTCTAGACTAGCGATAGAGTCGATGGGAATTGTAGAGACTGGAAGTAGGATGTGCAGGCTCATTGACGCAGGATGCACGAAGGCCTGCGTACGGTGTGGCGGGGAGCGGAGGGTTGACATGCTGGGAAGTCTTGAATCATTGCCTCGTGCGCCGACATCTGCCATGTCGCGGATTCCGTGCGAATCTTGACCATCAGCGATGCCCCTACTGCCTGCCCACATCTGACTTGACTGGTTTATCTACAGAACTCAGGCGCTGCGTCTAGCCACTTTTCCCACGGCCATGAGTTCGTCTTAGCGTCCTCCCTCCCATCATTACTTCCTGCCGCCGCGCCAGCGCTCCTTAAAGCGCCTCGGTCGTATCTCCGCCAGCTTTACGCTAATCGTAGATCAATTCGTTTTCAAGTCCATCGCGATACTAGGCAAAGTTGCTTTGCACTGCTCCGACTGCTAGAGCACCGCTGAAGGCGTAGCCGTGGTCAGATTAACTTTTGATACAACGGAGTGTCGCGAAATCATTGAGGCGAGTAATGTATGCTGCGAGCCCTCGGCCCACAGAGCGTCTATCTCTTGCTTTACTAGAGTAGGATTTACATTGAAATGTTCGGCTTCGGGCTGATGTTTAGTACTCTTACAGGCTCACTGGCCTTCCATCATATTCCAGATGGACTCGGCCGCTTGTAGGTAGTATCCAGACAAACCAGCGAGATGCCTACGATGGAAACTTGCAGCCTTGATTCATCCCCTAGATAGATAGGAGTCAAGAAATAGGTCGACTGTAGTAGTCGTCAGTTACCTATTTCAAGATCAATCAAGTTCCCAAGTCCCTGACGCCGAGCCAATGTAGAATAAAATCAGCCGATCAAGGAGTTATGTGAGTGGGAAACGGTAGCTTGCCTCCTTTATTCCTGGCCGACCTCCACTACGAAATTGCGATGTTATGCGTAGATGCGAGCAGAAAATCAAGTCATGATATGCAAAGCTCGGGCCTCGACTCGTGGGAGATCGTTGCTCGAATGGAGCTATAAAACATGAGGAAAGATAGATGAACTGGACGTGAAATAAGAGAGGGAGAACAGATGAATATGCGCTCCTGATGTGGTCCCGGTGTCTAGGCCTCGCTTGGCTGGGGCTGCAGGTTTTTTGAGACTTTTTCCCGCGCACGCAGTTTCCATTGCCACCATTTTATTTTTTCGGGTAGAAGGTTCCGTGGAAAATTTGGCCGAATTTCACGGGTAAACACTGAGCTGAATGGCTATTCATCACGGGCAATATATCAATGATCTTACAAGTAACAAAAGAGGCAAAGAGCACTGTACAAGGCGTGGCCTGGGCCAGAGAGGAGTCCAATGTGCTAGATAGTCATAGACTCAAGAAGTACGATAAAATAAACACAAAACACAATAATGATTACGCTATACTAGTTCCGAAAGGTAAGAGGATGCCTGAGCTTACTGCTCTAGATGTTTGAAAGATTCATCTTCCCAACCTAAAGAAGAGAGATCCATGATAAAGTTCGGTGATTAGTGAGGCTTAAAAGATCCCCTTCAGCAAATCAGTGCGAATTTTAAGCGTCCAAAGATAATAAACATGCTCAATGGTTCATATTCACGCCCGATCGCGTTGAAATTGCTTGATTGGACATCTATAAGTATAGTGCATCGCCAGGCCACTTGTGTCGGAAAATCCGAACTTCGAGTTTACTAGGTTTGATCGAGAGTATAAAGCCCTCTCGGAAAGGTTCCGGCCTTGCTCGGTTTTGGGATGGGGGTAACTGAATTGGTGCAGTACCACACGCAGCCTAGCATTCGCTCTTTGTTATTTCGCTCGCTACCAATCTTCTCTTATTAGGTGTCTTGTTGTATAGCAATGCATGTGGTATCGGCACCGATTTTCATTTAGAGGTTGTCTCGATTATAAGTTTGTTGGCAGACTTATCCAACACTGAATATCGCCAAGTGTATTTGTTGCATACTCAAAGGTAATGCTAGACCAAACTGAATACCTGGATAGAATGGCTGAAGCCGCTGTTCCAACTCCCACATTGCTGGATATCTTTAAGAAGCTCTATCAGAGTGAGTACTATTGATGTTATGATTCCAGTAGAATAATAAGACATCGATCCATCGCCACACGATAGAGCTAATCATTAGGCGGAGAAATTCCAGATTCTGTCCCAACGGCAATTGTTACCTGATCAGACAGCACTGCAACCATTATTAAAGAAGTCTCTAGGCCCAGAAACGTCGTAACTGAGCCTAGTCAACGGTGCTTGTGAAAATCACAAGGGCGCAAAGGCGCGTGATAACTTTGAGTCGAAGACGATAATGTAGCATGCCTGTGTTGTATTCATCAAATTATTTGTAGATCTTATACCCCTGTCATTATAATGGGGCCTGATTTTATACGGCCCCACACGTGTCGAATACCTACTGGGGCGCAAGTCACCCAATTGGCTAGCCGGGTACGTAAAAGTACAAAATAATAGTATGAATCTCTGGTAATAACTCGGCGCGAAAATCTAGTCACTACGTGCGGCAGAAAAATTTCCCGTAGAAATGACAAACCAACTTCTACCAGCGTTGTCACTCCGAACATCCAGCTCTTGTGCAGAATCTGTAGAGCCAAGATGTAGTCCAACACTAACCTGGAGGGCCTCTACTGTTGATCTCCACTTTCCTAGAAAGCGCAATGACGTTGCCGAGTCGACTCTAAAGCACGTATTGTCCGCTCAGTATTTTCCGGTGTCTCAGCTTGATTTCCGTTTACACCCGGGCCTGGAATGAAGAAAGAAGTCAAAAGAGGACCAGTGTGAAGACTGCTTCGCTCTAGTGCACACAAGTCCGTTGTGCCCGGATAACCACTCCGAACGTGCTGGAAGGAAAGCTGAGTCTCTGGATTAGTCTTCATATCAGCATTAACAGAACATGCACTTTTGGCCAATCTTTCCACCCATCTGAAGTGATGGAGAGCCGAGGGCTTCTATAAATGTATCAAGAGTGAAGGATTGTAGGTGTTACAGTGGGAAGGAGGATGTAAAGGAAATACAAAAGACATACAACCCGAGGTAAAGTTATCCTTGGTGTGTAAGCAGGAGGAGCCTAATGTCCTGTAAATATTTATAATGATAGTAAACAACAGATAGATTCAACCTATAGTCTTGAGCCAATTAATTTTTCAAAAAGTGAAGGTCTCCTCAAGAAGGGAAGGTTTCAGCTAGATACAAATTACAAATTAATACTGACTTTGCGACAACTAATCAATAGCTGCGGTAGCTCAGTGGTAGAGCGGAGGATTGCAGTCAGTCCAAAATCCTCAGGTCCTGTGTTCGAACCACAGTCGCAGCTGGCGGTTGTGTATTTTTGTATTGTTGGGCTCATGAGCGTTGCTAATCACTCTTTGCTGCATCGGTTTTCCGCAATTCCCTACGGCATCCGAGCGACAGCCAGTCTGGCTCGCGATCGAAAGAAAGCCCGGCCTGGATCAAACTGGCATATCCCCTTGATTGAAATCTCGGGTAATGATACCGCAAGAGTAATACATGATAAAGAATGCCATACCACACTTGCGTAATCGGTATCAACGAACCCATCCTCATAATTCATATTTATGCACAAATGAACCAGTCATACTAACACTGACTAGTGCTTGGCTTGACAGTTTGTGTAAACAGCTAGGTATCTGGTTAGACCACGAATTCAACCAAAAGTCCAAACAAGTCCTGAAAGTAGCCATTTTCCTGTCTCACAACTCGGGTTTTGGCAATGCACAGGTTGTCGCATCAAATTACAAATTGATATCACTACCTTCCAGGCGTCTAGGGATAAGCCAAGTCAAGCTAAGCTACTAGA